CTTTTGATGGGCTTTTCCATGACCGTTGGTATGGGCTCTCCCGCTATACAGAACCTGTCATTAGTAAGTCGGCCTTTAACAATGGAGATGCTGCAAGATTTTTCGGATTTAATCTCCATTTGTGACCATCTGATGTTTTCCTGGAGCTTATCCAGCAGCCACTTAGTACATGCTTTAGTCATTGTGATGGTAGTCATATCATCCATGTATGCCCTGATTGGAGGGAGCTGCAACCCATTTTTCAAATGTTTCCCTCCAACCACCCAATTATGATCTCTATTGCCATAGTGAATACCAGTGGAGAGATGGCCTTATGTCCATCTGGTGCTCTGGCAGTTGAATTGGTGGCATGTCTTCTGGAATGGAGATTGACATGTGCCTCTGATTGTCAGAATAAGTCTTCCTCAGGTGTTCCTCAAGATCTGCTATAGGTACTTTAAGGGTACTGGTTTTCTCCTTGCTAAAGAGACTACTGACGAACTTGTAAGGATCTCTACAGAAGGCAGTCCTGGTTTGTTCCTTCTTTCATTGCTTTCTTAAGCTTACTGCTCTTCGTAGCGTTGCAAGGCAATGTTTGATATCACCCTGTAGTACCTCTAGGCCTGTCCTTTCTTCTTCAGTGGCCTTCTTCCACTGTTTTCTCAGGCTCCTCCTTTCTTTCACATGTTTGTCAACTTCTTGTTGTCTCCTGGACTTCGACTGGCCTCCCAGCACCTTCTGTGACCTCGGCCTCTCGTTTTTCACTCCAAACCTTTGTGCCTCATAAGTGTAAATAATCTCCCCCATCTTCTCCAGTTTCCTTTCTACATCTCCTTTCAGGCCTTTTAGCAGCTGAACGAGATCTGTGTCAATGGTTGCCCACTCGTTGTGGGAGGATTTAGGCCAAAGTATCTGAGGCCTCCTTCCATCCATCTTCCTTTCTACTGCTGGGTAGTACCTCTAGGCCTGTCCTTTCTTCTTCAGTGGCCTTCTTCCACTGTTTTCTCAGGCTCCTCCTTTCTTTCACATGTTTGTCAACTTCTTGTTGTCTCCTGGACTTCGACTGGCCTCCCAGCACCTTCTGTGACCTCGGCCTCTCGTTTTTCACTCCAAACCTTTGTGCCTCATAAGTGTAAATAATCTCCCCCATCTTCTCCAGTTTCCTTTCTACATCTCCTTTCAGGCCTTCTAGCAGCTGAACGAGATCTGTGTCAATGGTTGCCCACTCATTGTGGCAGAATTTAGGCCAAAGTATCCTCCTTCCATCCATCTTCCTTTCTACTGCTGGCTGTGGCTGGGTGGCTTCTGGGTTAATCAGTGGGGGTAAGTTTGTGCCTGGTTGGGGTTTGTCTGGGGTTCTGATACCCTGTGGACTGTGGTGTTTGTCCCGCCACTGGACTTCACCCGACTGATTTGCCCTACCTCTGAGGTAGTATTGGTCAATGCGAGGCCCCTCACTAAGCTCTCTCAGGCACTTCTTCCTGCCCTGATGGATTTTAAGACCCTTCTCTGATGTTATCTTCGCCCAGCCGCAGATGCATCTCTGTAGTTTTTGTCCTGTCAGTCCTATTGTTCCAACCTCTGTTGTGCTGTTCTCCTGACTCATTGTCATTTACGTTCCTAAGTCTGTCACCGTGTGGTCTGTCCATAAGTCATCTTGCGCCCCCGCTCTCGCAGACTCCAGGGGTATTCTTCTTCTTGTGGTTTTCATAGCCAAAGTTGGGTGGACCCTCTGCACTATGTAGTGACGGATCCTGCTGGAATGGGTAGCTAACCCATGCCAGCCCCGATGGGGTCTATTCCTCCTGTCAGCAGTCTTTCCTAGCTGTCACTAGGCCTTTTCCTGGTTGTCAGCTGCCCTTTCACAGCAGTCACTGGATTAACCAGGTAGTATAGTTTGCATGATAGGACTAGGTGTTATGATCCCAATATTCAGCACCATTTAGCCACACCATAGAACATTTTCTCCTTTGCTGTGAGCAGAACACAGTTCAGACTTCCTCAAAATAGGAAATAACCTAGTATCAGAGTAACATCTTCTTCATGTGCTCCAGAACGACTGACTGTATTTGAGATTGTGACTCTCTGCTGATCCACAGACAAAGTGAATGATGAGGGTCTTTTTCATCTGACCCAAAACTTCTACCTGTCTTTATACTGAATCCTACAGAGAGATACATTTGATCAGAGCAGAGAGACAGTGAGACCCTCTGCACAAATCAAACACACACATACACACACACACACACACAAACACACACACACACACTAGCTCATGTAGCAGCAGCGTTTCTCTCATGAGTGTCGTGTTGGCTCTTGTGTGTCGGCAGTGAATGTTCATCGCATCAGTGGGTTGTGGGAAGCTGCAGCAGATATAAAGATGTGAGAAATATGAGCTGAGTTTTCCCATAACCACTTTCTAATTTCATTTATAGAGCAGCTCAAAGTGATTTTTACTTATGAAAATAAAACCGAGGCTTTTATGTGACACACTTATGTGTTTGACACTGTAAAAAAGAATAAAGTCTCTTTCTGTCTGTCATCCACAGGAGAAGCAGAGGTTTCTGACTGATGTTCTTCATGAGGTGATGTTACTGGACGGTTTGGCCAGTTCTCATCCAATCTCTCAGGAAGTGTTTGAAGCCACAGACATCGACAGAGTGTTTGACTGGATTGCGTATAAGAAGGTAAGAGAAGCTCATCAGCTCCTACAGGAAATTATTATAAACCTTTGCTATTGAGCAGAACTGAATGAACTGGTTTATACTCAAAATTGAACATAAATAAATCTCAATGAAATTCCACATTTCACTTCTCTTTCATATGAGCAGCCAGCAGAAGAGAAACAATGACTTTGTAAAAAAGCAGTATCGTCGGTGTAAATCAGTCTTTTATTTATGTCAGGACTTCACTTCACCGCTAAACTTGATCTTTTATTAAGTCCAGTAAACACCTCCTTTTGCTCGTTATTTTTCCCAGCTAAAGACTTCTCTGCATTGTTATAAGCCTCTTCACATACACAAGAAAACAGTTTAATTAAAAGCTTTGTTGAGGACTGAAACTGTAACACTGTGAGATTGTAAGGTTTTGTGTCGTCTGGGGACTTTAGTGGCACAGTAAACATTTCATCTCAGACCAGACGACATCTAATTACCTCTTTCTCACCGGAACAGACTTTAAATAACTCCTGCGCCCAAATATATCCTCTCATCCTGAACATCTGAAAGCCATTAAAGGCACAAAGAGAAGTAAAGAAATTTTTTTTGTCCTCTATCAGAGTTCAAATGCAGATAAAATCTTCCATTCACTGAAGATTTGAGTTTCTGCTTCAACTCTCTCTCCAGCTGTCAATCAGCACAAAGCCGGTTTCTGATTGGCTTTTGCTGTTCCGCAGGCCCCTCCCTCTGTTCCCTGCAGGCTCTGTGGTGTTATGAACTCTGTCAGTCACACTGCAGTGATCCTGACACCCAGCTGTCCCTCATCACTTCCCCCTCACACTCTGGGGAGAGAGGGGAAGTAGATGCTGTCAAATGAGCATGTCAAAGTCACTCAAAGTCAAAAAGATACAAATTTATGAAACTGCAGAAAACAGCAGGATGAGTTTCATGGAGTTCTTCTTTAGACAAACCTTAAAAAAAACAAAAGAACACCTGCTAGAAAAAGAGCAGGGACATAATAAATTATTAAATTAAATATTTTAATTAAATATTGTTTAACTTTTCTGATATGTGCAAGCATATTAAAATAAAATAAAATAAAATAAAATAAAATAAAATTAAATTAAATTAAATTAAATAAAATAAAATTAAATTAAATTTAATTTAATTTAATTTAAAAAGTCAAATTAAATTCAGTGCTGATAACTAAAACTGTTAAAAATAAATTATAAAATAAAAAAACATTACAATAAAATACATTTTAGATGAGGACTTAATAAACGTAAACAAAAACAATAATTATACTAAAACTGAAATAAAAAGAAAGAAATTAAAGCTAAACAGAAATACTAATACAACTATTAAAAATTACTATAATACACAACATATTAATAAATACTACAATAGTATATAAATAACACTGCATAAATTCAGTTTAACATAAATGCAGGTGTAAATGTGCAGCTTTTATTGAATGTGTGTGTTTTCTGGTGTGTCTGCAGGGAGCCGCGCTGATCCGTATGCTGGCTAACGTCATGGGACAGCCGCTATTCCAGAGAGGCCTCAATGTAAGTCAATAGTTTTCTTTCATCTTCTCTCTTTGTGGTCACAGATGATTTCACACGCATGTACATCTTACTCCTAATGTGTTATGAATATGTTTAACACTTACTGTTACTATTTAACACTTGAATATCTCAGCGAATGTTCAGTTCTCAAGCCCCCTCAGGCTGTTCTGAGTATCTCGTATGTTTTTGCTACGAGCGTTTGGGAGATTATGCATCTGTGTCGGTTTACACTTGTTTCTTATCTTTAGAGCTACAACAGCTTGTTGTCATGCCGCGCGCTGCCATCATGCTTGAGGTGAAAGCATCACAATCAGTCAAGTGATTAAACGTGTTCATGACAGAAATGAATTTCATATCTGAAACATTCACAATCAGAAGTTTCAGAATCATTCTCTGTGTTAAATCGGTGTACAGAAACGCATCCACTGCATTAAAGCACATATATCTGATATTATATAGACGTGTTGATTCCGTATGCTGGCTAACGTCATGGGACAGCCGCTATTCCAGAGAGGTCTCAATGTAAGTCAATAGTTTTCTTTCATCTTTTCTCTTTGTGGTCACAGATGATTTTTGTTGTTGTGCTTTAATGTTGCTATCAGTGGCTGGAAGCGCAATCAGGTCATGTTTTCTGCAGAGCTACACATTTAATGCTTCATTTACAGATTTAACATCTGCACATGCAAGCTTTATATCATAGTGCAAACACATGTAAGACCAGTAGACTAACGTGTTTAATGCACATGTATGTGTCCATTTATCTTCAACTGGCTATAACTGTAATTAGTGTGTTTGGTTTTGTGTAATATATACTATAATAAACCTGTGGTATTATTAGCAACATCAATATACTTAATGCAGCAGCAATAAAATGTGCAGTTCTGTCTGAATCTTGGTTAATTAATTGTTTCTTGATTATTATAAAAAAAAAAATTTACAGTAAAATAATTGTGATTAATCTCTGAGCATTATGTAGAAAGCAGAAAGAAGTACATTTTATTATTATTATTATTATTATTATTATTATTATTGTTTTTGTTGTTGTTGATTATTTATTTTAGTTATATTCAGCAGTAATCTTAAATAAAAATATTATATTTTGTCATGTGTTTATTCATTCATTCATTCATTCATTTATAAATTCTAAAATTTTGTGTACATTCCTAAATTAAACATTTATTTATTTATTTTATCCGAAAATGTCATTGTATTAATCAGCAATACTTTTAAATCAAATTTCTTTTCATTCATTCATTCATTCAATCAGTTTGCTAATTAGTTTTATTTTCTCTTTTTTTCCATGCGATAATCACAGTTCTTCCTTAATGCTCAGTATAGTGTCTTATGAACTCCTAACCGCTCTAGATCTGAAAGTATTTAAGAGGAGAAATGCAACCTTACACATCTGCTAGTGATCCAGCTCTCCTCTTTCATCTGCTGTCTGTCTTTCTCTGTTCACTGAAGCTCATTTCATTCTCTCTCTCTGTGTGTCTTTTGCTCTGTGTGGCATCTCTTCTCCTCCTCGTGTTTCTGCAAAATTGAAGCAGCAGACAGTCGTGAATGCTGAACAATTCAAAAGCAGCGGTCGGGCTTTAGTCTCGCCCGGACCACCATTAACCATTCCTCCCTCTCTCTCTCTCTCTCTCTCGCTCTGTGAGGATGAGGATGAGGATGAGGGCGTCTGCATTGGTAAATGGTGGATGGGCTGGTGAAGCAGGTGGATGAATGTCTCTTATAAAAGAATAGAGGGAGTCATAAATGAGGTCTGAATGGGTTCTAGGGCTCATAGAGCTGACTGGAGTGATGAAGCGCTCCCGCCTCATTTACACACACTGCCCATCGCTTTTAAAACCACTTTCAGATGGATCATATTATGGGATGTAGGAAATATTCATTCTGGCTGGAAATGTGCAAAGCTTGACCTATGAATAGCAGAGAAAAAGTGCGCTCCTGCCCCGGAGAAATCAAATTCAGTGTTACAGTCCATCTTCATCCTCTGGATGTGATTTGGAACCAGGGGATTGGGTACTTCACAGTCCTGTTGGTCTGCTCTCAGCGGGTTCCTGACTTGGAGAATGGCAGTCCGTGAGATTCCCCGCAAATGTTGTGTGCTAATAATTCGTTTTGAACAGAGATGGAATAGCCAGATACTCCTCGATTCAGTTTCCCAACATTCTAGAACAAAGAGAAGATCCATTTTCCCATCTTCCCACTGGCTCGGCTGTTCTGCCTCATTCTTACTGTTTTCTGTCTCTCTTATGGGAGCTTTCAGTATCTCTGTCTGTCTCTGTGTGATTGATGGGAAGAATAGGTAAACACAGCACCTCACCAAACAATCTATACCTTCATTGCCTCAAAATTACTTTCATATGCAAGAAAATTGTAGACATATTTCTTCTTGTATTACTTTTGAGGGAACTCATTCAGCTGGATGAATAATGAATTATTTATGATCTGCTTTGACTGTTGTGGTGAAGGCTCTTGCAGAAAACTTGTGTTTTGGCTCTGGGGGATTTACATATCAAAAGCGATCAATCTTTTGTCTCCCTTTGAAAGTAATTTGGCTTTGCAGAATCAGAAACCAAAACGTGATGTGGTTATAAATGTGGTTATAATATCTGATGAAGGAACGTTCAGGATGTTATTCTGTCCTGAAGAGCGTCAGAGGAGTAACTAGCCATTACTAATTAGAGTAAATTAATTACATACACAACCATCCCACTGGAATATGTTGAGTTATGAAATTAGTCTTTAGATCTGTTCCAAGCTGTCTATCTAGACAGATTTTCAGAATCACAAGTACACACTTCGACATCAAGGCTTTTCCAAAAGGCAGATAGCAGCATTCTAAATAAAATAACATATTTTGACTAAAAACAGCCCCAGGATGCATTGAAACATTGAAAAAGAGTCATACAAAATTTTAATTTTAATTAAATATTGTCTCCAAATAAAAATATGTCTGTGCTATGTATTACTTTTCTTATTACAGCATCAAATTAGTTATGCTAACACAAGTCTCTATTGTAATTGACTAACAGTTAATTAGAGAATTAGAGAAACACTATACACACACTATGTAAAACATTTAAAATCAATCATATGAGGTTCACTTTAGGTTAGGATGCAGCCTTTCAACATATATAGATGTTTTAAGTATACAGACAGTAGACAGCTGTTAAAGCATATGCTTTTGCTGTCTATGTGTGTCTCGCTGTAAGTGTGCCTATGTGTGTCTCTCTGGTCACTAAACAGAGGTGGGTAACAACACAGTCATTAAAATACACACTTTTAGACCAAGCAGACTGGAAAATGTCAACACCAACATAAAATGGCTCTGGGCGGTCCCTCACTGCTATGCAAATGAGCAGAAGGCTATTTCTTACTGCAACATTCAAATTCAAATTTTATCCGCATTTAGACCTGCTGAAAGAGATTAGACAATGGTTAAATACAGAATTTATAACTCATTATAGAACAGATATATATATATATATATATATATATATATATATATATATGTATTAGAGATGCACTCTCTGCTGATATCGATAGCCGATTATTCAGAATGATATCTACTGATACTGATGCCGATACGATAGTTTGATTTTCTTAAGGAGAAAAATCTCACCTAAATGATGCTGTTAACTACACAGGGAACCCTATCATTTGGTTCATTACTATAATAATAAAGGTTACAATTAAACACAGAGCTATTATTTTCAACTCTATTATTTAGATATCATAATTACGCTCAAATAAAAAATGTAATATCTGTTTACAACTCATTTGCATATAGTCTTCATAATATACCTGTCTTCATGCCAGATCAAACATATAAATAATTATAAGTAAAAAAAGCTCCTCTTTAGTGTTGTTTTATAGCTAACTAATGAACTGTGAACAGTGGATAACTTTGCTGAGGTGAATGCCACGTTAAGTGACATACTGTTCACAATCTATTTTATTGGCATCTTTCCGTGGTTTGAGCGATTACATAAGACATGATACATTTTGGTAAGCTATAATGTATCTTTCAACATACCTTCTGATGTCCATTCATGTTTATTTTGCGCTATAACTTATTAAAGTGGAAGAGACTCACGCTCTGCACTGCTGCTTGAACTGAGGTGCTACACCAATCTGTCATGTCACATTTAAAATGTCACATGTCACACAAAATGGCATTCTTTGTTTGAATTTCATGATAAAATGTACAGGATTTGAAAGCTGAGTCTTTGTTTCTTATAATAAGTAACAAACCTAGTAAATAAAGCACAAACCTCTTTGCGATTATTGGATGGGAGGCGCGCTACAAATAATGTTTGGTCAAGAGAAAAACTTCATATCTGGCAACCCTGGCTTGAACTCAGGTCAAATAGAGCCTGCTTTACTGTCACTATTTTTAACTGTTAATGGTGCCACGTTAATTTTGACAGCCCTCAATTCAACAGAGATTTTCTTCACAGTATGAGTTGCAGTCTGACACGATTTTCCGCACACACACACACACACACACAGGGTTTGAAATGAACTTTTTCACTCACCAGCCAATTTGCTGGTGAGTGACACACACACACACACACACACACACACACACACACAAAAACGTGAAATAAACCAGATTAACAACGTCACAGCTTCATCTAAATTTATTTATTATTAAATCTGAATTTCATTTTATTCAAGGGTATCTGCAGGATTTTTAAAATACAATTTAAGACTTTTTAAGACCTGCACAAATAAAATTAAAACCATATATACAGTTCAGTTACAGGTTCACAAGCAAAAAGTTTTATAAAATGATAAACTTCACATTTCAGCCTTTAAACCATTTTTAAGAAAAGGGGATAAGTCAAAAGTATCAATTATTACATTAAATTAAACAATTATTACCAATAAATTATTATTTTAATTTAATAACATAAAAATATATCTTAATGTCTTAATTGTTTAGATTTTTAAATTGTTTAGATTTTTTAAATGCATTAGCATTAGCGTCTTGTCGATCCACCAGTTCACATTTACAACACATTTACACATTTAGTGTTTGCTGCGTAAAAATATGGGTTGATTTTCGCAGTGGTTTGAACAAAAACAGCAGACTGGCTTACTAAAAATGCAAATTCATCCTCTGCCAGTAGGAGTGGTAGCAGTTTTTGGAGCAGTAGCAGTTTCCCTGGTAAAGGCTGTACACAAAGCAGCAGAGCAGCTGACTTTGAAACGTTCAGCGCTCATATTTATTCAGTGAAATCATAGCCTTTTGAAGTTTAATCACATTAAGCTATATCACAATTCTTGTCTTTCCGTCCCCAAATTTAAGACCTCTTGAAATCATAATTAAGACTTGTACAATTTAAGACTTTTTTATGGCCTTACATTTGATATAACTACATTTAAAATGATGGTGGGATCAAAGTGCATGATATCAGGAGAGGTGGACAGTAAGAAAATCAAAGAGTGATCTTCAGTCATTTTTCGAGTCTTCGCTATTGCTTCAATGCAAAGGAAACCAGCACACCGTTATTTGTTGCGTAGTGAAGGGTATGTTCAAGTAAGCTAGGCATGCGCAGATAATGCGCAATTAGGCTGCATTTAATATATCAGCTTATTTTTACTATAACAGCTGAGTGTTGTGTGCGGGAGTTAATTTCAAACCCTGTATATACAGTATATATATATATATATATATATATATATATATCCTCTTGCTGTGGCAGTCAGCAGAACACATCAGTGTCAAAATAATGGCAACACACTGTGACGGCCCTATCAGAGGCGAGATTGACCACATGGTCACTTTGCTTCAGGGCAATAACTGATGGAGGAGAGAGAGAGGAAGAGGAATTGCTCTGGTTTAAAACAGATTCATCAGGATGGCAACATGAATCTGGTTCTGCTCCAGACTCAAATCCCAGACTCTCAGAGAGCTCAGCAGATCATGTAGAGAGATGGAGGCCAGCTGATCTGGGTCTCGCTTTCAGGATCCCAGACCTCTCAGCATGACGCATGTTCACATTTCAACAAGTGTCACATTTGATTTGATTCATGAAGCAAAGGCTGAAATAATTGCCTTATTAAAGGAATAGCCTATACCAAAATGAAAACACGCCCATGGTCCGGTCACACTCATGTCTTTAGTTATTCACTTAAAATCTTCCCCTCTCTAAGATGTCAGTGAAGCTTTTGCACATTCTAACCTGCTGCAACACAATAAACACAAGAGCAAGAGAAGTTTGTCTGCAGTCTCTCCTCATTTAATGGTGTTGAGTGCTGGTATCATCATTTAAAACGGTGAAAAACTGACCTTATTGGTCTGTTTATCACACAAAGATAGCTCATGACCTCGGAAGAATTTAAATATATCAATGTAGAATACTTTTATGATACTTTTTTGTCTTTGTGAAGTTGACAGCCACTGATTTGATATTGCATGTTTTTGGTGTTGAAAAGAGCAGCCTGGACATTCTGCAAAATATCTCCATTTGCGTTCTACAGAAGAAACTTTTTAGATAATTATCCATTTAAAACACAGTATAAAGTAAGTTAGAAACCAGTTCGTTGTATGTCACATGCAGAGGGCATGCCGTTTTTTGTCAGCTTGTTCTCTCGACTCCAGCAACAGGAAGCGGATTACAGTTGACGGGTTTATTGCTCACGGTCACTCAAGAGTTATCGAGGAATCTTGTATACAGCAGGGAAAAGGCTTTCCACCAGATGTTCTTATCAGATGAATGTAAATGTGCTCTCCAGTATCAGACTCCTTCTTCATGTCACCCACCACCTGTATCACTGAGACTGCAGGGCCAAACAGACACTGATAATGTAGCGTTTTCCGTTTAACAGATTAAAGTCTGTTAGCAGTGAAATGAACACCCACCGGTGTCTTAGCTTCAATAATACACCACAATACAGATATTACATCCACTTTTCTATGTACATTTGTCTGTGTTTGATGTCGAGGCACTTTTGTTATGCACTTTGCTGAGTCTGAGGTATTTCCTTTCTTTGCAAAACTCACTTATAATTCTATATTTATAAATACTTGTTATTAATAAATGTTCCATTAAAAAGTATGTTTACCAAATATTTCCATGCTTTTTTGGCATGTACTATGGTAATAGCAGATAAATGGTACATGGGAAGTAACTTGGAGTGACATGTCAATACAACTACTATATGGTGTATGAATTTAATTATTATATACTATTACAGTACTTTTTTTCCAAGAGTATTTAAGTTTTTACTCATGGAATAAATCTAATGTTTTCTCCTGTTAATTTTTCAAAACTTTATTTTAATGTGAACAATTTGACCATCTTTTATGTCTTGAAAGAAACTCCTGTAAAATCATATTGCTGATTTGTATGTTACTCATGACACGCTGATGCAGCATCGACTCGAACAGCATAATCAGCCTCTAATTGGCCTCCTTATGGTCCTCCTTGAGCTGACAGCCAATCACACCTAAACATCTGCTGCTAATTTGCATATATTCAGCTTGAACTGAGAGGATTAGTAATGTTATTGTTTGGGCTTATTTGGTTTCCCAAGTTCACCGTTCCTGTACAAGTCCAATTTATTTCTCTTCCAATAATGATCTCCGTCTCTGTCTGTTTGCAGGATTACTTGATGACGCACATGTACGGGAACGCGGCGAGAGATGACTTGTGGAACAAATTCTCTGAGGTGAGATTTTCTGGGTGTGAGACCTCCATACACGAGCAGGAATCAGTGCTGGGGTCAGTCAGTGTTGAGCAGCGAGTGAAAGTGTGTGTTCAGCCTACTAAAATTCACCCAGTGCATCTCCTGCAGGCAGGTGTTCAGAGATTCATGCGCTGCATATAGGCCAGAGGCCATTATATAACTGCATATCATCAGCGGTGCACAAATTTATGCCAATACACCACCTACTCACATCAACACATAAGGGTTTTATGGAACTGCCACATGGGAAAGAGTTTGATATGGAGGCTGGGTTGTGTTTGATCTGCTTTTACACTTGAGGTTGCACTTAGAATGGAAACGCTTTCTACAGGGGAAGGTCACTATTGATGCAGACATCTGATCACTGAAACCTGCTAAATGCAAATGTTCACAGATACTGATAATGAAGGCTTGCTGCTGCTGATTCTGATGATTTTAATTAACTTATAAATTACTTGAATCTTAACAGACCCGATTAGTGAAGTGCCACATAATTGCAGACAAGCCTGATGAGTCTCTCAGATTAAACATGAGCATCTGCCCTTCAGCTCAGGTGTAGCCAAGAATAACCCAAGAAAAGTCTAAAAATAATCTTCTGCTGAAGGAAAGTTGACCTATTTAGATGCCTCAAAATACAGTTTTTATTAAGTTTGGCATGAGCGCCCATCTCCTGACAGAAACACTGATCCACTGCTTCAGTTTCTCTGTCTTTTAGTAGTACCATAGAGGGTTTAGCAACCATATTGTTCGTGGCAGACTTTATTTCCCATAATTCCTTCAGTTCAGTTACTGGAACAACAAATGCTGCAATGCTAATGCAAAGTTCTTACATTAAATGATAATAAAACCTGTTTAACAAGACTATTTAAAGTATCTTTTCTTTTTTATAATAGCACACATATGCAAAACAAATGCTAGCATTACCCTCTTGTTTCTTCATAAGCCATATTCTTATAATCAGCAGAACGCCTTCATGGATGGAGGTAACAAGATTACAAATCTAACTGATGAAATGCAGCGTAAGACATACTTGTTCAGATAACAATATGAATTGAAGCTGGACACGTGGTGCTACAGGATGCTAATATGTTAGCTCACCTGCACAGTACAGTTATTAAAGGGTTAGTTCACCCAAAAATTAAAATTCTGTCATTAATGACTCACCCTTGTAGGATATCAGACCGAATCAGACAATCTAAGATTTGGTCAAACATGGCTGAAACCTGAGGAGCCCAAAGGCTCCTGCATCAGCACCACACGCATGCATCGCGCTGCTCACATGTGCAGCTTTGGCCAATAATGAGCCGGCGTTCGGACGTAGAACACAGAAGCCTTTTACTGCGTTAACCGCGTAAGGATAATGACAGGGAAGAGATTGCTGAATAAAGTTATTATTTTTGTTTTGTTTTTGTGCACAAAAAGTATTCTCGTCGCTTCATAAAATTATTGTAGAACCACTGTAGTCACGTCGACTGTTTTAATGACGTATTTAGTACCTTTTATGAATCTTGAAAGTTTGGGTGGCGTTGCTGTCAATGGAGGCCTCTCTGAGCCATCGGATTTGATCAAAAATATCTTAATTTGTGTTCTGAAGATGAACGAAGGTCTTAGTGGTATGGAACGACATGAGGGTGAGTCATTAATGACAGAATTTTCATTTTTAAAGACTTGATTTAAAACCATAACTATCTAATGTGTAAGACTGAAGCTTTTTAAGAGGCACACGAGGAAATAAAAAATTATGAATTAAAACACTTAAATAAGAGCGTGAGGATCTGCTAGCCACTGTGAAGTAAACGGTTGTAGCCAACAGCCATAATCACAGTCAAGTTAAGCGTTGGGTTCAAGTCATCAGCTAACAGCACGGAGATGTGCTTTTAAAGTCAGAAAAGTCCTCTCTCGCTCATCTCACAAGGTGTCATGACTTTAATGAGATTACTTTCAAGCGTAATCTCAAAGTTATTATGGTTTGTAATGGAACAGCAGGACATTTAGCAGCTATCAGCGTCGTATGAAGTGTTTTGTCATTCACATTACTCTCCAGAATACCAGCTAATGAGCGCTTCTTCATTTTCTCTTTCAAAACAGAATGTATTTAAAGGTGAATTGATGTGAAGGGGCCGGACCTGGACCTCTGTATCCTCTCAGTGGCCATGTTTGTCAGACACTGATGAATATAGCTACATTAACAGTGCGTGACAGCCCATCATCTAATGAATACTGATATGCGCTGTGTTCATTAGCTATTCATGAAATCCAATTTGCTGCAATAATCTGGCAGTGTTTAGAGCTCACAAAGCCCTTTGTCAAGCTCACGACCCATCGCCGGACCGGCCTTCATTTCCTTTAATTATATCCACCAGGGCAAAGGTACAGTAGGTTCCTGAAAGCCGTCCTATAGAAAATGATTCATAATGTAGGAACATCAACTGCCGTCATCAGCCTCTGCAGAGCCTCTTCTGTATTCACACAGTAAACAAAGCATGAGTCATTGACAGCTGTGAGCAGTCGTCCATTGCACTTGTCATTTTCTATATAATATCCCAGACACTAATTAATAAAAGTCATCATCTCGTATTAGTTTAGTTAGTCTCAGATTTTAATTCTCATAATGGTCAGACTTATCTGCTATAAGCAAGAGTGTCCCAGCTACACTGGAGAAGGGAACATCAGGTTGATGTTTGCAGAATACAAGAGAGCCTGACAGAGCACTTTTGTTTCTGCCACCACACTCCCCTTCCAAACCCACGGGTCTCCACAACACACTGACTCTGTGCTGCTGCAGAAGCACTGTAAATCTCCACCGGTTTACAACCAGATTCATACAAAATTACCGATTGGCCCCTGCAGCTCTTTAGGATTTAATGTATGGAAATGAAAAAAATATATATATACCTGTGGAGCCAGTGATGTTTGTTCTGTAGTAGGGGAAGTCGTGGCCTAATGGTTAGAGAGTCGGACTCGTAACCCAAAGGTTGCGGGTTCGAGTCTCGTACCGGCAGGGATTGTAGGTGGGGGTAGTGAATGTACAGCGCTCTCTCCCACCTTCAATACCACGACTCGCAGCAAAAATGGCTGCCCACTGCTCCGGGTGTGTGTTCACAGTGCGTGTGTGTTCACAGTGTGTGTGTGTGTGTTCACTGCTGTGTGTGTGCACTTTGGATGGGTTAAATGCAGAGCACTAATTCTGAGTATGGGTCACCATACTTGGCCACATGTCACGTCACTTTCACTTTCACTTTCACTTTCTGTTCCAAAAGCAATAGTAAGCTGCCTCACTGTCACTACAGTCACAGACTGCATCAGGATTCATTTCAGCATCAGAAATGAAACCTCAAAATACTGACTTTGCACAGGCAGCGCTACACACAATCTTCATAAGAAGTGCAGGGAAATTCAACTTGATTGATACCATTAGAGGTTGACTTAAGTGCAGGGGTGGGCAAACTCTTCCATGCCACTTTCCTTCAGAGTTTAGCTCCAACCCTAATCAAACACACCTGAACCAGCTAATCATTGTCTTCAAGACTACTAGAAGGCTATAGGCAGGTGAGTCATATCAGGGTTGGATCAAATCTCTGCAGGAAAGTGGCCTGGAAGGGCCAAGTTTGCCCATCACTGCTTAAGTGCAACCGGTTCTGCTCAGCCCACTCTAAGCAGGGCTCAAACCAGCGACAAGGTGTTTCCAGTGTTTTGCAGTCACCTACGTTACATTATTTTTAAATGGATACAGCAGATCAAGGTGAAAAGAAGATAAAGCATGAAAAGGTTCCTCATACATACAGAGAGCTTTTGAAAACAATTTATACAGAAAACTGCCAGTTGTCCACCGTTATAGTAAAATTTTCAAAGAATATGGAGGAACCATGTACGCAGTATATTTCCCTCAGGGACAAAACTCCCTTTCCTCATTAATGAGCAGTGAGATCCAATTTTATGTTTTACTTCTTTAAAATAGGAGGAGCAGCTTCCTCTGAAGAAATCAGAATTATAAATCTAGCTCTGCTCCTTTACAAGCGTGCTCTCATATAGAGAGATTAGATAACTGGAAATTGCCTTGTGATGTGCAAAACGTATGCAGTTTAAGAGAACTGGGAAGTTTAATCACCTTCAATTCAAAAGAGTTTTTAATTAAAGACCTGGATGAGTTTTTATTTACATCCATTTTATTTTTGAAAGACAACGAAAACTTGAATCAGTTCAGATATGTGCAATTAAAGACCAGTGTTAATTTTGACAGGCATTTTTGATTTAGTCTTATAGTCTTTATCTTGGGACGAAAATGCTTGATAGACTTAGTCACATTTTAGTCATTTGTGTCTTTCATAGTTTTAGTCGATGAAAAGTCATTGCATATTCCGTCTTACAAGGGGATGTCATAAAAGAGCTAATGGCAATGGTAGAATCACAGCACTCTGGGAAACTGTTATGAACGTTGCAGGGTACGGAATGATGGCATATTATAGACAGATTTCATCGCCAGATCATTGACAATGCCTGTGCTGTACTGAACAAAACATTGCCAGAGCTTAAGACAGGTTTTGCAGGAAGGAACAACTGGCCTGTTCATATTTTTGCATGACATACAATCTTTAACATATATCAAAGAACCATTTTCTTGGGTTCCTTTTGACTATGTATGGTTCTTGTGCTGACTAGGGTCACAAAAAAGTTACTGATGTTACACTATATGTCATTCTGGTCAGCATATTGGTGGAAAAAAAAGAAAACTGAAGCTCTCTTGGGTTCTTTGAAGCATCAGTTTGTGTAGAACGTACTATGGCTCAACTAGCCTATGTAGGTTTCAGTGTTAATTTTGACAGGCATTTTTGATTTAGTCTTAGTCTTTATCTTGAGACAAAAATGCTTAATAGTCTTAGTCACATTTTAGTCATTTGAGTCTTTCATAGTTTTAGTCGACGAAAAGTCATACTTTTAGTCATTACTTTTAGTCATTACTTTTAGTCAAACTGCAGTTACCA